TTTGGCTGCCACATGAGAAAATATAACTGTTGTCAGGAGCAGTTCAGTTGTTGTCAGAACGGTGTAAGCATATTTCTTATGAGCAGATATTTGATTTTACTCAATGCATTGAATGAAAACATTGGAATAAAGGTAGTCTGTTCTATTTTGTACGTTGTTCATTTTAAAGGCCATTGTTTGTCTTGGGATGGATACCTGGTAGCAGAGCTAAGTCAGTTAATTTAGTTATAATAAAGAAAATTAATCAGAAAATAACTTAATCATCAGTCTATGGCCAAAGTTAAAGCAAAAAGAGCAAAAAGATACTAAAAAAGACTCAATTATACACCTCCTAGAAATGAAGAAACGGTTGGAAATTAATAGACGGTTCGTATTATGCAGAAACTTTATAGACAAAGCAATGAATTATTCAACACTAAGATTAATCCTTAGTTGAAACTGTAGGCATAACAAGAGGGACTAGAAAGTCTATCCACATTTAAATTGGGTTCTGTCAAGATCAAATTTTATCTTAACATCTTTTTCTTTTTTTTTTATCTCAGACATAAAATGAAACAGAGGTCTTAAATGAAAACCTCTGTTCATACCAGAACCGCGCAAATAGCTTCTACTTTCTTACCTTTTAATCTGCCTGACTCTGAGACAAAAAAGAACAGCATCAGTCACGCTGGGCAGTTTGATGCTTCAGAAAAACATCTGTCACACATCTGGACCTGTCTTTTGCATGTTCCACTTACTTAAACATTTTACACCCTTATATTTTGACAGTCTTCCCTGAAAGTACTGGGCAAGCTAGTCTCCCACAAACCGAATAATTGTGTTGGAACTGTTGGATCCTCCCCAGACCTCTCCTCCACTCAGCACTGATAGGACTGAAAAAGGTCAAAGCTCTGACACTGTGATTCCTAACATCACATGACACCTCGAAAGGTCTTAGAGAATGCAATCCTGACTGTGTCCAAGCTGTTTGGGGAGCATGAAAAGAGCCTAGAAAATGCTTGGCAGGAGGTTTTGGACTCCACGTCACATTATAACTAAGTAATTAGCCAAGTACAGGACTCTACACACATTCTATTGTACTACACACATTCCACACACCACTATTTGTCCTGATAGAGATTCGAAATCAAAGATATTCCTGATGGTTCATAAGATTTTGTCTTAATGAGAAAAATATGCTGATGACTCATCCAGTGTATGCTAATTTTACAAGCAATGATTCTGATTCTGATTAAATAGAACAGACTGGACAGTCCAGTGTTATGGCTTTCTTTCTTCAGAACCTGCGAGTTCGGAGGCGACCACCATTTGAGATTGTAGCTCATCAGAACTGATATCCTTCAGTTGCCGTCACCAGCAAACAACACCCCCTAATTGAAAATATCCTCGCACTGATAGTGTGACGACTCTTTAATGAAATATGACAGCTGCAGTGGCTGAGGCTTAAAACCTGCTGCTTGTTTGATTGCTTGCAGAGCAAAGATTTTTCACTGCAGTTCATTGGAAGAAGATGAAAGAGAAATGGAGGAAATACAATTGCAGTGCAACAATCCTCTAAGTAAACCCATTTCAAATATGTTCCTCTCAGTGTGGGTGTGGCACCTATGTAATTTTACTTCAAACAAAAAAAAAACATGTATGCAAATTGATATACCTACAGTGATGGATTCTTTTCAAACTCTTGAGAGGAAAATTTGATATTCAAGGCCATGATGGGTGTTTATGTTCCATAGAGAAATGAGAATGCCCCTTGTTTGCATGGGTCAAGCTATTTATAACCTGGCTATCTTGAGAGTCCTGTTAAGGCAGTGAAGTTATCTAATGATGTCCAGAACCTCCACACACCACCTGAAGGCGCCCACACACTTCTGTTATATAAAGCCTTAGTATTCTATAATTCTTCTCCAGATTCTGCATCTACCAAGTTCAATACAATCCTCATCCAAGCCTGAGTTATTTTGATTATAAGGATGGATTATTTGTTTTCAAAGAATGGCTCTAATCCAATCTTGTGTGAAATGGAGTTTAAATGCGGTTGTTGCGTTCAGAACTGTTTGCATCGGTGCTGTCAGAAAAAAGGATGCATGACCACTGCATAGCAACATCCATAGCAACACCACTCTGTCGCACTTAGAAAACATCAAAAATATTTGGGGAAATCACGGTAGGGCCGTGGAAACATGCTTGCACCTGAAATTTTAAATGTTCCTCTTATTTTTACTATTCTCCCCATCTTTTTGCCATTTTGCTAATCCCTTTGCCTTTAATATTTAATCTACTCCCTGATTCTCCCAGCAGTGTTTCTTTCCGCCTAATCTCTGTCCATCTCACTTCCCCTCCTGCCCCCTCCTCTCTTACAAGCTTCTCATTTATCCACCAATGTCTCCTCGCCTTCTCCGAGCTTCATCTATCTGTCCATCACCTTCCCTCACGGTGCTCATTTTTACCTGTCTCGCCTGAAATGTTCTTGGTCATTTTTTCCTGTACTGTTATCTTGTTTCATAACCTTGAACTGAAGCGATACCAGCAGGTACACTGGAAGAAAGACGGAGGACATGATTTGACAAGCCTCCGTTTGCTTCTATATCCCGGTCGCTCCTTTTTAAGCTCTTGTGCATTAACATTTTATTTCTACTCCTTATACCATACTTTCCTTTCTGTCATATCCATTCATATCTGAGGTCATTCCTCTTCGTTCCAGTATTTTTCATCTATCTTTCTGACTCCTCACCTCATTTATGGTCTGTGTCTTTTCCCATTTTCCCCTACCCAATTGACAGAATTGTTCTATCTTTTTTCGACAATGTCTCTTTCGTCATCCCAAATCACACTCTCCATCCATCCACCTGTAGCCCGAGCATCGGCTCAATGGTGTGTCCGCCTTTTTCAACTATCCGAGGCAGAGGACATCTGTGCCCTCACTAAATGGGATTTTGGCCACCTACCGGCAGCTGGGCTAAGTCGTCCAGTGCAGCGCCTTCACACTCAGCTGGCCTCCGTCACTAATGTTGCTTCTGCTCCGTGCAGAGGCACATTGCCTCACAGTGGTCAGACTAAGAAAAAACACATAGGAGAAGCAAAAGTATGGGAATGTTTGGAGTATGGAGTAATGGTGCCACAATTTGAAGACGGATTGTAATCTCACTGACTGAGCGATCTTAATTTTACTGCTACTTGGCGTTCTCCCTTACTTAGGTCAGTCCAAGTAAGGGAAAGCTTTGCCATTTCTGCTGCGCTTTCACACAAAATGAATGGAGCAAACCCAAAAAGGAATTAACACTCTGAACACGCTCCTTCTGCAAATCATATTTTGTTTAAAGTACATTTATCAGGAATTTCATGCGGTAATTCCAGTCACATTTATAATTCTAGTCCCTTTCAGCATTGCTAAACACGGTCTAAGCCGTGATCACATTGTGTCAGATAATCCATGAATGCACACTGCAGGCTGAGTCGAACTTCACTCATCACTTTAAGCATAGCAGGAGTTTGTCACACTCTTGAAAGTTTGCAGTTCTGCATCACGCACTGCTGCCAGCATGACAGCTAATCAACCACCGCTGACACTCCAAGGTAATAGAAAGCTAAATCACTTTTGGTCACACAGCCAGCTTTTCATAGGAAAAAGGTATCAAACATCCATCCCTTTTTTTCCAAATCATCGAGCTTGAATTCAGAAATCTAAAAGAGCTGGATGTGGCTGTCAAAAAGATCCTATATTCTGCTCATTTTTTACACAGACATCATGCATATGTATATAGGAGGAAGTATACAGAGCTTTTTCAAATGTGCATTCATTTGAAAACTTTTTATAAAAGATTTAAAAAGGGAAAACGAAAAAAGGTTTTTTGTCATGATGCTATGCGACATTCTCTCTCTTTGATTTTGGTCTGATGTATTTTCTTAGCTTACAGGGCAATTTTATACAAAAAGTAATGTTTTTTAGCTTTAATGGTATAAAAAATTATCTTTTTCTTGGACACCCTCTAATGCAACAAGGTTGGCATGTTACGTTCAAGGGATTCTAAGAGTATAACTCACTTTTCCCTGTATAAATGCATAATTTATTTAGCTCATTATAAAGAATTTTACATTTCCTTTCAAGCCCTCAGCCCTTCTGTCATATGACCTGGTGTATGGTAACAAAATCCAACTAGACAAAAAAGAAATGACAATAGCTGTATCATGGCAGCAGAGTAGCTTTGACATTCATCCAACTGGGGATTAGTCCAAAGATTAGGTACCCGCAAAAAAACACTAATCCAGTCAGAGAAAATGATCCATTAAGGCAGTGACATAATGTCTAGTTTATATCATCTCCTTTAACCAAGAATGCATCAGTGACATCTGCAGACAGGGAGGAGGCAAAACGGTCCAGAAATGTGGGCGAATCATTTAGTTTTAGCATAATTATTAGAGGTTGTGTGTGGCTGACGAAGATTACAATATTTTATGCTGAGAGTAAGATTATATTCGACCTTCATTAGAGCATAATCTTCAAATAATCTCCTTCACTTTAATTAAACTTTTACCATCAAAGTCTTTATTGTAGAATTGAAGATATAAGCCAACTCATCAATATCTTAAAAGCCACTTTGATTAAAAATGCAGACTAAACCATTTAGGAAAAAAAATAACTTTACAAGTTTTCTCCTTAATTCTTTTCAGATACGTGAAAATGAGCTTTTTCTCATAGTGTCAGTATCTGTGTTTGCATTGTTGATTCATCAATAAATTGTATTCCCTGAAATTTCACAAATTGCACTATTGTTTTATTTAGGATTGTAGAGCCAGAAATTGAATCAGACCACTTACAATTAAATATTATTCTAAACAACTATTTTGGTGAAATCAGTTAACCAATTGAACCAGTAACTTTATTTATAAAGAAAATAATTATATCAAAACACTGCAGAAATACACATCCTCGGAAGGCTACTTCTTTTATTGACTTCATTTCCCATGCAACCTTGCGTTGGGTATTCAAGGCCTACGTAACGTACGCTTCCAGCTTCCGGTTGGAGTGTAAATGGATACATGACACAGTTGTTTGCTGGAGTGCTATTCTCAGGAAAACTGTTAACATCGACAGTGTCAACAAAGAGATTGTGACATCGTAACGGCGGACAGTGCCGTGTAGAGCCGGCCGCGATGGAAGCGGTCCCCCGGATGCCGATGATCTGGCTGGACCTGAAGGAAGCAGGGGAGTTCCAGTTCAGCCCGGCCGTGAGGCAGGTGAGCTGGGTGGGGAATGGAGCAACAGGGCTGAGGTCGAAAGTCAACTAAACAAGGATTACCGACGACGGGATAAACCAGCCAAGAAGCTGAACCTCGTCCCAGTTCATATACAGAGTTAGTTTTAAAGAGGCTGAGACTGAGAGAATTTTCCAGAACGAGTATCTGGGCAGCTAGCTAAAGTCTGGTTCTGGCAAACCCCCCTGACCACCGCCTTTGTTTGCTAACATTAGCTAGCCTGCTACTTACTAATAATAAGGTAGAAATTTAACGTGGAGTTTTAAAATAACCTAAAACTAAACTATCCTAGTGAACATTGTAAACGCAAATGTTGATATTAAAATCAGAATAATGGCGGCTGGCGGCTCAGTGAGAATGCCAGCAGGAAAATAGTAAACAGTGAACTCATTGTCACATGCACCTGAGCAAGTCAGATGCGTTTACAGTTAACATGACTAATTGCCAGCCTGTGTATTTCCTAATCAAGAGAAGGATATACATTTTGTACTTGTTATTGTGCCAATACATTAGCTGGATGACAATAAATGCTGGTTGTCAGTAAGTGCTGATTACATGTCATGTTGTGAAAGATATAGTGATAAATGAACATTAAAGATAACACAAATCGCCATCTTTACAGATACATCAACAAGCAATTATGGAACTATAAAAGTATTAATATTAATCCTGGACTTAATTGTTGGAGTAATTAGGGGTACTCAACACATTTTAAAAAATGAGGGAAATGTAGTTCGGATGACTTTATCCACAATGTCTTTATATGAATTAGTGCTAACAAATAAATATGATTAAATGTATTTGAAAAAAACGGTGACAGGCCTATTTACAGTGAATACCTAGTTACATTTTCAGTGTTTTGAACATTATGTATTCAGAATAACACTTCTTTTCCTAACTAGTTTCTGTTACTGCTGTCATTACAGCCTTAAAAGGCACTCCTCGTCTTCCAGGATCACATGTTTGGTATTTACAGGAAAGATTTTTCAATCTTTATCAAGTGACCTATATTCTATCCTCTTCCTGGATAAAAAAAAACAGACCTTTGCTCTCCTCCCTGGTCCTTAGAACTAATAACTATGAGCTGCTATGATCATCAAAAGTTTTAGTTCAAGTGTCTTCAACCAACTGCTTATATGTCAATTCTGAAAAGGGTTCATATTATGTTTGAAGATTTCTGTAAAATACCCACACCAAGTACCTTTTTAAGACTTGGAGTAAACAGTATAGGATGTTTTGCACGTGGAAGTCTAAGCAAGTTCTCCTCATTGCTGCGTCACTGTGCATTGTTCCAGTGGCTGTGTGACCCTCGTACGTCCACGATGTCATTAAAAACCTGAACAGAAATGCTCATAAAAAAGTAGCTTTTTTCGCCTCTAGATTCGTGGCTTACATCTTATTATAGCAGCTTGTTAGGATTGTGAAAGTCTTGGCAGAGCATCATGGGAGAGAGCCAGGAAGAGACTTAACCCCTTGACTTTTGATGAGGACTGGAGATTAGCATTAAGACTAATTGGCTTGAGATTCTTTTGGTGATTGCTGAGATGCTGTCCTGCTTATCAGGCCATTTGTTTTAGGCTGATACTTAAAGTCCTGGAAAGTAGCAGGATCGTTGCTGATATTTGTTCTTCCGCAGTTCATCCTGAAGAACTATGGAGAGAATCCAGACAACTACAATGAACAGTTGAAAAAGCTGGAAACTCTGCGGCAGGTTGGTACAGTTTGTGAAATAAATATTCTTACATAACATATTTGAGGCCCATCTTTATAAAATCGAATTATTTGTCAACTCTTCTGACGACCGTAGAGGTGAAGAACAGCAGAAAAAGGACATCCATAACATGGTTGTGTTTTTTACAGAGTGCAGTGAACGTGACACGGGACTTTGAGGGGTGCAGCACCCTGAGGAAGTACTTTGGTCAGCTGCATTATGTCCAGAGCCGAGTGCCCATGGGACCCACTCAGGAGGCTGCTGTGCCCATCTCATGGTAGGAGCATCAGGGCCTACAGCAGCTGGCTCTGATGATACCAGCTCAGAATAACAGCACTTCACACACAATTAGGACACGACTTTTAGATCATGCTTTGATATGTGGGGTTCAGTTTCTGGTTTTGGTTCCGCAGGTAGGATTACTTTATCAAATCAGACTCAATGATTCACCAATATTCAGCATTCTTCTTTTTTTAGGACGGAAATTTTCTCTGGAAAAACCGTCACCCACGATGACATCAGCTACGAGCAAGCCTGCATTCTCTATAATCTGGGTGAGTAAACTCACCTACCGCATTTTCTACCTTTGTTCTATTCCAAAAAGGTTCATGGGAAGTTCATTTTTCCTCTGCTCATGAATTACGTTTTTCAGTTGAAACCTGCTCGAGTTGTTTTCCATTTTCAAATGATATCCTGCATGTGGAATCAGTAGTTTTCCTAAATTCAAATGAATCGCTTGACTTTTTTTGTAGTGCAACTTGTTCTTGTTATCCTTGTTGTCAAACGAAACCCAGGAAACCTGATGGACAGCAGAGTTAAAGCAGCAGTTAATCAACTGTATGGACAAATAAGTCAGTTTAGTTTAGGTTTTAGTTTAAAAATGTTTTGTTTTGAGATGTATCTTGAAAATAGTAATTTCAATCTCTATTTTTTATCTGTTCAAAAGTAGAAAAAGACACAATAGACCTACTTCCTGTTCTGGAAACTTTTGAGGGATACAGATAAGGGAAAGCCCATAGTTTGGTCAGTGTTTACTGACTGAATAGCAACACCTTTAAACTTCTCCAAACATTTCTGGGATGTCTGTAGGGGCCCTGCACTCCATGCTGGGAGCAATGGATAACCGGGTGTCTGAAGAGGTACGACACACACCGACAGAACAATCCTGCGTAGGTTTGCGTTTCCAGCCTGACTGACTCACTGTGCTCCGTTTCCAGGGGATGAAGGTGTCATGCACACACTTCCAGTGTTCGGCAGGAGCTTTTTCCTACCTGAGAGACCATTTCAGCCACAACTTCAGCGTGGACATGAGCCACCAGATTCTGAACCTCAACATCAACCTCATGCTGGTAGGTCTCGCACGGCCGAAACCCACAAACGCACGCTCGTCCAAACACGTCCCTTGATGTTTCCGTTTCTGTCCCAGGGCCAGGCTCAGGAGTGCCTTCTGGAAAAGTCCATGTTGGACAACAGGAAGAGTTTTCTGGTCGCCCGCATCAGTGCTCAGGTTTTACCACTAAAGATTCAATATTCTTTACGGTGGAAACGCAGTCGACAATAATGGGTTTCAAAGCCAGCGCTGCTGTTGTGACGCTGCAGGTGGTGGATTACTATAAGGAGGCCTGCAGGGCTCTGGAGAACTCGGAGACGGCCTCCATGCTGGGAAAGATCCAGAAAGACTGGAAGAAACTGGTTCAGATGAAGATCTACTACTTCGCTGCCATCGCACACGTGAGTGTCCAGCCAGAGCTGTGTGTTTGTTTACCAGTGCACACACACACGTACTCAGACCTTTTAATCAGGACAGTGCACATTAATGAACAATCTCATACAGATTGTAAATGAGCCAGATTATAGCATAGTTGCTAGTATACATCTGTCGTCCTGAGGCAGGAAGACCAAACAACACAAAATCACAAAATACAAAATCAGTCCAAACACACGTTCAGACAATGACATTACAAAATTAAAATTAATTCAATTCAATTCAATTTAGGCCTTTGTTTAAGCCTTATTTTGTCTCAACAGCTTCATATGGGGAAGCAAGCAGAGGAGCAGCAGAAGTTTGGAGAACGGGTGAGAATACAACGTATTTGGTCATTTCAGATGTCGGAGTGCAGCTGCTTTAACTCAGTCATCATTTGATGAGTAGTCGCAAACAGGAACAAACATAGCAGATACACATCAGGAAATATATGTGCTGTGACATTTCTGTCAAAAAGCAACTGTTTTTAGACCCACATCTGTTTACTGAAGATATTTCTACTTCAGGCTTCTATCTTAAAAGAGCAAATGCAAATGAGAATTTCCATATGTGGGATTAATAAATGTCTGTCACGCCAGTTTTAGCTTCTTACCACCGCAAACGCATACGTCATGTCCACCACTGTGCACTTTGTCATAATTAATATGCTAGTGTAATAAAATCCTTTAAAATAGGAGGATGTTTTTACATTAATTTTTGAACATGTCTAAACCTTCTGCCCCCCCCCAGCTGGCTTACCTGCAGAGCTCTTTGGACAAACTCAACGAAGCCATCAAGCTTGCAAAGGTAAGGTGATTTTTTCTGCCATTTTTAAGTCTCGGCTCTTATTGTTTTATGAGGTATTCTTCCATTTGTTTTGTTCCAAACCAAACAGGGTCAACCTGACAGCGTGCAGGAAGCGTTGAGATTCACCATGGACGTAATTGGTGGAAAGTGAGCAAAACAGTCTCTAGAACTGATTATTTTCTTGAAATCCTGATTCTGTAAAAAAAAAAAAAAAATGCACGTGACAAACTTTTGTTTGAACTTGCAGGTTTAATTCAGCCAAAAAGGACAATGACTTCATCTATCACGAGACAGTTCCCTCTCTGGAGACTCTAGCCTCTGTCAAAGGTATCAGGAAGTGTCTGTTACTGGTTTGCATATGGGTTAGGAGCATTTGGCTAGTAGACGCACAGCGGTTAGAGTGGCACGTTGTCTGTTTTGCTGTTGGGAATCCGGTGTTTCTTATTGGCTCCCGCTGAACCGCACAGCGGGATTCACAAATTTAAAACTGTGGACTTTCACATCTGGGCTGCTGCTAAAAGGTCTCTGCCTCGGTCCACTGCCAGTCAGAGCTCCAATTAGGCAGTTATTGACTTTGGTGGCAGTTTGAAAATTGACATTGATTGTTCTAAAATGTGGTACTTTAAAAAAAACAACGGTCACATTCACACAGCTCAAATGAATGGGTCGGTGAGACCACCAGGAGTCAGCAAAAGCCAAAGCTGATCAGCTTCTTTTTCTGGGTGGTGGCCCTCCCTCATTTCGGATTGTTTTTAATGTAGTTAATTCCCTTTGAATGGAGAGCTGCTCATGCCCATAAGCCCAAACTAAGTGGATGCAGGCTTTGCTGTCAACACAAAAGACAAAGGCTGGATGCAGTAATTCAGCTTGTAATTGATTATAAGCTTCCTCTTTTAAAATCAGTTTGTTTCCACCTTTGTAGGCGCTCCCCTCGTGAAAGCCCTCCCTGTCAATCCCACCGACCCCAGCGTAACCGGACCAGACCTGTTTGCCAAGCTGGTGCCCATGGCCGCCCACGAAGCCTCCTCTCTGTACAGGTGGGCTCTGCTGCGGGATGATGAGCGGTTTTCCTAGCGTTAGGAAAGTGGAATCATCTGTTTTCCCTTCTGTTACTGTTCCAGTGAGGAGAAAGCCAAGCTGCTGAGGGACGTCATGGCCAAGATCGACAGCAAGAACGAAACTCTCGAGTGAGTGCATCAGTGCGTCCGTGTGGCTGCGATGAGGATTCCTGAAAAGCTCACAAATGGGAGAGCTCTATTTGGCTCCCTGGGGATTTTAGTTTTTCAGGATTTTCTTTTCTCTCCCAGTTCAGTCTGTACTGTGCAGAGCCTCTATGGGCACACTGAAATGTAAAACTTACACCAGAATACCAAGCACAGTGGTGATAGGACTAGATTTTGTTGTGAAAATTCAACTCCAATATCAAGAGACTCAATCACCCTGCCAACCCCGACCCCCCTCTCTCCTCCCGCAGGCAGTTCATGGACTCGCTGGGCCTGGAGCTGGAGTCCGTCGACAACCTGGACATGTACAGCCACATCCCTCCGGTCCTCATGGAGAAGTGTGCCGCTCTCAGCGTCCGGCCAGATACCGTCAAGAGCCTCATTCAGTCCATGCAGGGTTCGTAAAAAAGGCCTCCAAAGCATGTAGAAAAAAAAGATATTTGAAATATTTAAGAGAGAGCAGAAGTCTAGTTAATATTCAATGTAAAGTAAACAAAGTAAGATAGAAAGTTAATGTGCATACTGCATATTTGTGAGTTACAGATCATAAACACAGCAAGAGACCTCAGAAGTCCAGAATATTTTCAGCACTGCCTCAGTGTTTGTGTGGAAACAGCTATATTTATGTTTATATGCAGTCGTTGCAGAGTAATGTCAGTTTTTTAAAGTAGTTTTGCCATGAATGGCCTCTACATCTAATACAACCTTTTCATTCTTTTAGCTGTAAGAGCTCATCCTAATGCAGCCTGAATAACAGGCCCAATGTCATGTTACCCATTTTTTTGGATGTTTGGGAATAAGCGGTATTGATAATGGATGGATGGATGGATGGGTTTACAGAATATCTCATTTGAATCATGTGCCTGTGCCTATTTTATCATTAATATCATTACTGTTTGATGAATTTCTCAACGATATGCGTTGCTTCCTTGCCCGTGCAGTTCTCTCAGGTGTCTTCACCGACGTGGAGTCGTCCCTGAGGGAGATCAGAGACGTCCTGGAGGCGGATGAAGCCGGCGAGCGAGCCCTCCAGGAGGCGGGGGGCCCCGCCGCGGCCGAGCTCCATCCAGCAGCACAAAGCCAGGCTCTGGCCGAGATCCGCCGAGATCTGGAGAAGTACATGGAGGCTCACGAGAAGGCCAGTTTCACCAACACGGAGCTCCACCGGGCCATGAACCTCCACATCAGCAACCTGCGCCTGCTCGGGGGGCCTTTGGAGACCCTGAGGGAGGCCCTGCCACGGCCCCAGCTCAACGAAGGTGGGCCCTCCGTTTGCCAGTCATCCGCTTAATACGAGGCTAATAACAGTGTAGTGACTCTGATGGGAAGTGAAGACTTCCGACTGGAGGTCATTTTAAAGGTTTGGTCCTAAAATGGTGCCCGTATGTGTGTGCAGAGGAAGTGGCCGGGCTGCAGATCATGAAGCGGATCCTGGGGAAGGTTCAAGAGATGAGGGAACAGAGGAACTCTTTGGAGAAGCAGCTCCGTGACCTGATCCAGCAGGACGACATCACCTCCACACTCGTGACCACAGACAGAGCAGACATGAAGGTATTTCCAGCTCATTACCTCTTACGTCCGCACAGAGACTGAAAACAGATGAGCGTCCTGCTTTAGTAAACCCGTCATTCCCCCCCGCAGCGTATATTCGAGGAGCAGCTGAAGAAGTACGAGCAGGTGAAGGTCTATATCGACCAGAACCTGGCAGCACAAGAGAACATCCTGAAGGCCCTGACGGAGGCCAACGTTCAGTACGCCTCGGTGCGGAAGGGCCTGAGCCAGACCGAGCAGCAGTGGAACGGCACCATTCAGGGCCTGGTGGGCTCGTACGAGGCCTACGAGGACCTGATGAAGAAATCCCAGGAGGGGAAAGAGTTCTACGACGACCTGGAGGCCAAGGCCTCCCGTCTGCTGGAGAGGGCGAAGGCTCTGAGCCAGAGCAGGGCCGAGGAGAGGAAGCCCGTCCTGGAAAAGTGAGGGAGTCATACAACTGTGCGAGTGAAACGTTAGTGATTCAGAGTTTGTGGTCGACTGAGAGGAGTGGGCCAGTGAGGCTGGTTAGCAGGCTTCGTGTCAGAACGGGGCTTAAAATAGTGCATTTTCTATTAAAGAATAAATCCAAAAAAGCTTGACATTTTTCTCCACTTCTCTTTTGAACAGGGAGACTCAGAAGAAGCCCCCAGCACGGCCCACAGCGGCTAAGCCCTCCTTGAGGCCGAAGGCTGATGTGGATTCGGCCTCTTCCAGCATCGAGGATCCAGAGTTGGCCCAGCTAAGTGCAGCCATCCTGGCCCTGGGGGGCGACCTGCCCGAGGACCTCCGCAGCCTCCCCCCCGACATTCCTTCCCTCCCCATCCCCGCGGCTCACCTGCCCGGCCCCGAGGCCTTCATTCCCGCCGCGGCTAAATTCGGCGGCAGCTCCTCCATGCCCTGGCCCGGCGCTCCGGCTGCTGCTAATCTCCCTCACTTCCCGGCCAACCTGCCCCCCCCAGAGCTTCTGGCACGCATCGCACAGTTTCCCACTTCAGGACCCCTGCCACGTGTCCCCCTCCCTCAGATGGCTCCGCAGAGGGGCCCGCAAATGCCCGCCCAGCCCGTTGCTCCCGGTTACCGGCTTCCCCCTCAGCACGCTCCGCAACCGGGCCTCGTCGCCCCCGCCCCAGTGCGGCCGTCCACCACCACAGTGGACAGCATCCAGGCCCCCATTCCCAGCTACACCCCCACACCACAGCACCCCGTCCCGCCCGCGGTCTCCACCGCCTACACGGCGCCGCAGATAGGAGCGTACCCCCACTTCCTGCCCCATCCCGGCGTTCCCGGTCAGCGTCCGGGACAGGCCCCCGCTTCCCAACCGCCGCAGCCGAAGCACCCCCACCAGTACCCCCCGCCCGTCGCCCAGCCGCACTCTCAGGGGTACCACCCCGGGCCGAGGGCCATACCCGGGCCCCACCCTCCTCTCCAGACCCATCCAGGGTACCCCCACGGGTACATGCCCCCCCAGCCCGGCGTTCCCTCTCCGTACCAGCAGGCGTATCCGGGCCCGCTCCAGCCGCATCAGCAGAACGGCTTCCAGCCCCAGCACCAGATAGCCCAGGGCTACCCCCCCGCTCCGGGCTACGCGCCCCAGCAGCATCCGCAGATGATGCCAGGCTCCATGAGGCCCCCCCAGGTTCAGACAGCGCCCCCCCC